TGTTATTTTCACTCAACGATAGAATGTGGACTTGTTCTTAAGAAAATAAAATAAAATGAAAAGCATAGCTATTGTAACTTTTAAAAAAAAAAAAATTAGGTATAGCCTTCTATTTTTTATTTTTATTAAATTTTTGATATTTAGAAGTTAAATTGATTTTTAAGTAATTTAAAATCGAGTTTGAATGAATTAAATTCTTTTTACTTCAATTGAGAATTAATTAATATGAGTATAGCTTTCTATTAATAAATGAGGTAAAGAAATTATAGGAGGATATTTATCTCTTACAAAATTATACCTAAAATTTTCACTCCTTCCGTCTTAATCACATACTACTATTTTGCATAGTCACGCCCAGCCTCTAGAAAATCATGCTTGCTAACGAAGTATAACCATTGAAAATATACATATAGCAAATTCTTCATATACATTTGCTCTGATGTGCCTGCATTACTGATTGACCAAGCCTGGCCGGTTGATATTCAGGCGATAACCTGAGCAGACATTATGTTCTTTGAAATTTTCTAAAGTCTTTGAATTTTCTCAAGCCTCCCCTGCATATAAATACCTACTCTCCGCAACTCTCCAACTACCTCCGGTTCTTCAATTGTAGCAATCATGGCAGCTTGTGTAAACTATCTACCTCTCTTCATTCTTTCTCTTTCTACTGCCTATTTTGCTCCGGTTCAAAGTGGAGTTGGCTTCAGCGCCCAACTCATCCACCGTGATTCGCCAAGATCTCCTTTCCACAACTCATCAGAAACCCATTCACAACGCCTGACTAACGCCTTTCGCCGTTCCATCAACCGCCTCTCTCACTTCAACACATCAAGACATGAACTTCAATCCAATGTTTTTTGAGACGGTGATATTGGCGAATATATCATGAATATATCAATTGGTACGCCACCAGTGGAGATTCTGGGTATAGCTGACACAGGCAGCGATCTTATATGGACGCAGTGTAAGCCTTGTGCTCATTGTTACAAAAGCAAGATGCCCCTCTGTTCGATCCTAAGTCTTCCTCCACCTACGAACCTCTGTCATGCTTGTCAACAGAATGCAAAGGTCTGAATGCAACTATAGATGGAACTTTTTGCCCCCCCAAAGCAGGGGATAGTACTTGCTTGTATACATACACCTATGGAAGTGGATTCACAAATGGTGATCTTGCCACGGAAACAATCACCCTAACGTCAGTCAGCGGCAAACCGATAGCCTTTCCGAAGACCATCATCGGCTGCGGAAGGAACAATAGTGGAACCTTTAACAAGGAAGAATTTGGTATCATTGTCCTCGGAGGAGGTGTTGTTTCCCTTGTTTCCCAATTGGTTCCTTCAATAGATGGAAAGTTCTCCTATTGCTTGGTTTCTACTCCCGATATGCCTTACTACTCAAGCAAGATTTACTTTGGTGCTAATGCTATTGTTTCAGGGCATGGAGTTGTCACTACTCCTTTGGCAAAGAAAAACCCAGACACTTACTATTTTCTTACCCTACAAGCGATCTCTGTTGACGATGTTATAATAGAATTCAAAGGTTCTGCTTTTGGAACCACAGAAGGAAACATCATCATTGACTCGGGGACTACAGCGACTATGTTGCCTAAACACTTTTACCTGAAATTGGAATCAGCAATTGCTAGTAAGATACAGGCCAAGCGTGTTCATGACCCTAATAAGGTTTATGGTCTCTGCTATAAATTTAATTCCAATTTCAAAGTTCCCAAAATTGTAGTTCGTTTTGCTTTTGCTTCTGTGAAGTTGGATCCTTTAAACACCTTCATTATAGAATCTAAGCATGTCGGATGCTTCCCCTTTTTACCAACGGACAACGGAAGTGCAATCTATGGCAACATGAACCAGATGAACTTCTTGATTGGGTATGATACTGTGAAGCGGACTGTTTCTTTCAAGCCAACTGATTGCACAATTCACTAGTTTTATGCTTCTGTCTTTCATTTTTGGTTCTACATATATGTGATTATTTATCCATACAAGATATTGATATATTTTCTTTGTTTTCTTAATGTGGACTCTAATTCCTCTATACTTGCGCGATTCAGAGTATTTATGCTTGCAATTGTTTGGAATGCTTGTTTAGTGTTTGATGGAAAAGAATATGGTTTTTGTAAATTATGACTCTGGTGGTCATTATCTGTTACTATTGTCTTTTAATTTTCATTACACAATAAAATAAATTTTGATTGGCATAAGCTTTAAAATTTTGTGGGTGAAGATTCCGTTTCCGTGTCTTTTGCCTTTTGGTATGGTTCTAAAATAAGCAAAACCCTATGTTAAGCCCCCAAACTTATCCTAAATATTTTATTAAGTTTTTAAACTTTTATTAAAGAAATAAGCCACTAAATTTATCGATTTAAGCAATTTAACCCTCTTTCTTATTGCAGACTTAACACTCGTTTATACCTTTCTTGTGTGGACCTATCAACACCTACTACATAGGCAATACTTGCTACACAAGCAGTACGTGCCACGTAAACAATGACATGTCAATATATTGTCCATGCAATTGATGCACAAGTTGGCATTAAGTTTGTTGTAAAGAACAAGGGTTAAATTGCTCAAATTGCCAAGTTCAAGGGTTTATTTACTTCAATAAAAGTTGAAGAGTTTAATGGAGAATCTGGAGTAAGTTCAAGTATTTAACATAAGGCATAACCCAGTGAATTGTTTTTAATGTGAAGGGATTGAACATTTTAGTTAATGATTTGTTCTATGTTATCTAATTTTTAGTTATTAATTCATAATTAGACAAATTATCTGTCATGTTTAATGTGGGAAACTAATCTTGCTTGTCCCATTCAAGTGGAGCACCATAACTTTGTCATTTAACCTTCTACAGTACTACAAGAGTTTCAAAGTTGTATTATTTTAGGATAAGATCATAAGAGTAGCCCAATAGATTAAGTTGTTTGTTTCAATCTTCCACATAATGGGCAGTCATAAGTCATTGAAAATGAAAGGTAAGAGTAAGAATTTAAGATGCTCTTAGCTATTAGCTGTAGGCCTGAACTCACTCCTCTATTGCTAGTGGTTTGATTAGGATACTAAAGTATGAGTAAGCTATTTGTTTCATCTTGTTTGTTTGTTGACTTTGGATTTTTAATAATGAGATTATTAGATTAGTTAGTGTTTTTTTGCAACTTAAAAAGTATTTTGTTTGCATTTTAGGGTTAATATGGAGTGCCAACCTTTTCAAATCATGCATCTTAAAGTAATGATACTGGTGGTTGTAGCAATGTAGAGCATTTTGATATGATATTTTAAGGTTGCAATGAGTTTAATTGTTTGTAGCAACAATATTATTTGCTAGTTATTTTGTGTTTGAATATGACAACTTATGCTTTTGAATATCCTTAGATATTGTTGTATGTTGTTTGGATATCTTCTTCTTCTTTTTTTTTTTTTTTTTTCATTTTTGGGTATATTAAGCTTTTGAAACTTAAACATTTGGATGTTATTTATGCATTGTTGTTATGTTTTTTTTAGATATGACAAAATTAGTCATTTAATAATATGTTAACTTTGTATAGATTTTTTATTAATTAATGTCATATTTGGTTTCATTAGTTGTGCTCTAATTCTAAATGATTTTTTTAACAAATAGGCATTGTTTTGATAATTAGAAAATAGTGAGAAGAAAAAAAAAAAAAAAAATCATCTTTCCTGCATTTAGGCAAACATCATCGATCAAAAAAGAGGCCGTGTCTGACCAAAAAAGGCAGGTGAAAACATCAAATATTTGAGAGTTTTAAAATGGGCATCACTTGCGTTCTTTAAGTAATGTTTCTGCGTTTTCAGTAAATACAAGGGAAAAGAAGGTTGTACCAGTGTTTACATGAAATGCAACTATGTTATTTACCAGTGCCACTGATACCAATGTTTGAGTGGTGTTTTCGTGAATGACGGTAACTTTTTCACTTGTATTTAAAAATGTGGGTAAACCCATTAACAAATGTAAAGAATGAGCCTTTTTTCTATAGTATACTGCATTATATATGTATTTTTTAAACTAAAAAAAAAAAAAGATATTTGCATTTTTTTAATAATACAAAACCATATATATATGTATTAATTTGTTGTGACTTTTTTTTTTGGGCCAGGAACATTAAATTTCTTGAGATTATTAATTTCTTGCTTATAAAAATACCAAATTTACCAATTAATTGTTTGTCTATGTGGAAAGAGTTTAATTCCTTTTAAATAAGGTCTCGAATTTAAGTCTTATGAATGGAAAAATAGGTGTTGAGAGAACTTTCCCTTATGGGGTCCAATGTGACTTGAATCCGAATTAATCAAAATTTAATGCGGTTACTGAATATCGAAAAAATTAATACAAAAAAAATGTCAAATTTAATTATTATGTGATAGTCATTAGTCAATGTGAACTCAATTAACCAAGGCTGCGTTTGGTTCGAGGGGAAGGGAGCGAAGGGATTAAATTTTTTGATCAATCAAATTTTGATATTTAAAAATATTATTATATATATTTTTTTATATAACTAATGGTAGGTTATATAAACGATGATAATTCTTCTCTTTTTTCAAATCCTTTTTTACCCAACTCAAAATTCAAATTTAAAATCTTCAACTTGAAATCTTAATTCCTTAATCAATTTGAGCCACCCCTGAAAGCGAAAGCATTATAATTTAATTAATTAAAAAACTCATCCTTGCCTTCCCTCTTCTCTATTCTATTCAAAGCCAAACATACTCTAAGAGTTAAATTCATTAATAAGTATCACCCTTGTTGGTCAAGTTTAATTAAGGTTTAAGTCTCGCATCAACATCCAAGAAAATTAATTTTTTTAAATGCAACAAGCCAATGTAAGAAATGTGCTCTTAATATTGCTAAGAAAGGAATCAGTTTCAAAATACATGAAAATTATACATGTACACTTGACCATGAATGTCAAAACAAAAAAATGAGAACTCAATTTCAGAGGTTAACAAAAACTCTGCCGTGTAACATCTGAAGAGAAAAACACTAAATAGTTTCACAATTGAACCATGAAAAAACAAAACAATTTTCTCTAGTGTTGCACAATTTTCAGGTTCTCAACTATTCTTTTTTGGTTAAATGCCCCATTTGATCCCTCAACTTTCAATTTTAGAGCGAGTTTATCCCTAAACTTTAAAACTGACCAGCTTCATCCCTTAGGTTTATTTTCCCCTTGCCAAATTGGTGCTTCTATTGACAGAAGTGTCCATTTGGCAAGTTAAGTTGCCAAGTTGCCACGAATTCACTCCTAAGTTTCTTTAACTTATGTGAAAATAACTCTTCACTCCATTAATGATGTGATAATTTTTTAAATCACATATGACACATTTAGATTTACTAAAAAAATAATAATTAAATAACCAAACTACCCTTGTCTTTAACCTCTGTTCTTTCTTCCTCCTATCTAATTCCTGCGACATTGTTGGCATTGCTTAGATTCAATCTAGGCTTTTCAAACGGGCTTCCTACTCACGCACAGTCATCATCAACAATTTGACATCTTTTAAAATTTTGTACCACTTTTCAAATTTTTTTTTTTTCTATTTACATTTTGAAGTCTAATTATTTTCTATTTCCAATTCTACATTAAGTTAAATGACACTCGTGAATCAATATATGTATTAAGTAAACAAGCCATCTTTACTGGAAACAAAAAGCAATTCACTAAGAATCAAGGCAGGCCGAGAATGGGTATTTTTTTCTCACATGATATTTTTTTCTCACATGAACTTTTACGATGGTATAGGTTTATGATTAATTCATGCATAAAACTTTGTAAGTAAGCATTTCACCAAAACCAGCTATATATCCTGTGTTACAGAATATAATTATGGACACTATATAGGAGGAGAATTCTAAAATAGCAGTTTTTATTCAATATATCAGTGGCGCGAGTCTACGATTTGACATAAAAGATGACCCTATTATTGTTTTACAAGAATTGACTAATACCATCTCACTGGTTAAAAAAAATGACGAGGATCATTGATTCTATAACAACAAAGACGCCTTTATAGTTATTACAGCTCCAGACAATGTTCTACTTCAGTCGCAACATTTCCCTCTTCTCTGTTCAATTCCATTACATTGGAATCCTACAAAATTCAAGGAAAAGAGATCAGGGAATTAGTCATGGTATTGGTCTAGTAATTAAGAACAAGCTAACTTCTTAAGAAATTCTGAACTCCCAATATCAAAAATGAAAAGAACTAATGATGCATTGATCCAGTGGTTAAGAAAGTCCAACATTTAAATTCCCACCCAAAATATATATGAAATTGAAAACATAGTTAGACAGGAATGACTGACGTATTGCAATCAATGTTGGGGTCGAGAGGAATCGTGAAACTACCGACACCACATAATTGAGGAAGCTGCTTTGTTCTCTCGAGGTAAATCTTGACGGTATCCTTTAAACATTGGCAAATGTCCCGACGAGCTTGGGTTGTCCAACCTTTTTCTTTCAATTTACTCACGTCCGAGTAACAAGGGGCACAAGGCGATGGCGGCAACACCAGTCAAAAATTGCTGGCAACGTAACAATGGGGCTCTGGCCTCATCGCATGATATGGCATGCCCAGCCATCCACAAAAAGAATGACCCACCCATCATTTTCCTCTCCATTTTTTTTTTCTCTCAACTATTGATATGTGCTAAAGATTATAATAAGAGATGTAGAATTTGCTTCTGTGAAGCAATTGGATTTCCGGGTGGGGTTATTGCCACAGCCACTAATGTTAATGCCACAGCTTTTTTTAGTTATTTGACTATTATACCCCTCATTTTGAATCCAACTTGCAGCAGTCATCACCTTCTCCGCGTGGGTTAATGGTCAATTAATTAAAAAAGCTGTGGTATTAACCTTTGAAGCTGTGGCAATAACACCACCCTGGATTTCCCTTCTCCAAAAGCAGATGCAGCCAATGATTCTTTAATTTTGCAGTTATAACCTACCAATATCCCCTTCCATTTCAGATCTTCAGAGATATAGTTACCATACTTAGCATATGCTTCCGTCTCAATCTAGTTACCATATACTCGTTAAAGTATATGAACATGTGAATGGAATATATTTGTTAAGAGTATATAAACATGTGTGGATATTTGAATGAAACATCTTAAGAAAATAAGCGTTAAAAAGTCATGACAAAGTTTGAAGAAAAGAGATGAGCAAGGACGAGGAAAAAAAATGCAAAAATTGAAAATGAGCTGTGAACTGTGTTTCCTTTGTTCTCCGTTGGACAAGAAATGAACCACTATAAACTTCTTTTTATCAGTACAAGGATAGTTTTGAACTAGCAAATATTTCCAACATGCACGTATAAGAAGTAGAGAGCGAAAAAAGAAAAGTGTTGTCAAAGTTAGTATGATGCAGAAAAATTTGTATCCAGAATCCGAAGAACAAAACAAAGACAAGTCCTGCAAACAAGAATTGAAATTAACACAAACAAGAAAAGACAATTCAACATACAAGAAAGATGAAGGTACCTAAAAAATAGTAACAATGCATTCACTTGAGGTTCTTGGTAATACTAGTAACTCCTTAGTGATCTCCAATTGCTCCTCATATTTTGCAGTAAGATGGATTGTCATGCTCTCAAGAACTCTAGCACTTCGAAGAAAATACTCTGTCATTTCCAATTCATCATCAGTGCCTTCAAATGATAAAATTTCAATCTTTTTAAGGGAAAACGACAAACAACTAGATTCCTCTACTGGGAACCAGGCACCTGGATCCCATCGATTTAAAGAATCCTGAAATAAAAAAAAGAAAAAAAAGAAAAAAAAAAAAAGAGAGTAAAAGTCAAATACAATATACAATTTGAACAGGCATAACAGTTATTTCAGTCAATTTATTTCATACCTCAAATACAAGGGTTTCTAATGAGTGACAATGTTTAAGTAAATATGGTAAATCTACCAAGGTAGATCCGTTGCTGTGGAAAACAGTCAAATGAGTCAAATTGGGAAACCCAGGGATTGGAACACTGAACTTTTGGAGATCCTGCAAAGGGAAAGCTATAGTTAGTTGCATACAGTGGGCACTATAAACATCAATAAATGAAGAGAGTAGGTGATTCATAATTCATTGTTCCTCTATAAAGGGAGGCGTGGTGATAACACCTACATATAGAGTTCCACCAGATATACAACATGTCTGAATGTTGCTTATCGCACTCATCAGATTGGCTGCAGCATGTCTGTAATTCACGCATTCGTTGTGTTGAAAATTAATCTGAGCTTTAGCAAGAGCCTGGACGTTCACAAATGCACAAGAGTTTACATCACAAACACAGAATTCCATGTAGTCAAGACCTGGGGCATCAACCACAATATCAAAATTGCCAAGACAATCAAAACACGATGATACTACAGTCAGCCTCTTCAGTGTAGGATGACAGACAATGAATTTGCACTTCTGGTCATCAAAACTGTATTTCAAATCCTCAAGAACAGGGCAGTTTGAAAATAATCTTTCACGGGAATCATCTGAAAAGATAATATACCCAAGGTGAAGAACCTTAAGACTCGGGAGGCAAACATTGGCAGGGACTTGTAAACCCAACTGGCCAGACTCAGAGTCCATGTTTGATGAGTTGCTAAACTCAGAGGTAGAATTCAAGTCACCAGAATCAAGGGAAATCTCCAACTTCAGAACCACCAATGTCTTACAAGTAAATAAACTAGCAGGCAGCCGCAGATCCTTGAACTCAATAGAATCAATGTATAAATCCAGCTCTCGAATACCATGCCACAATACAGCACTTATCCACCCTTCAAGACGCAAAGGGTCGATATCTTGCGACTCTGGGCATCTTAGCCTAAACTTATCTAAAGGCCATTTGCTCCTGAAAAAGAATAGTCTATCCACAAAATCCATCAAATCAAACCCATTCGCCAAACCATTGCCCACCTTATCTTGGAGATCAAAGTCTATATTAGAGGTGAAAGTGTAGAGATACCTCCACCTTGTTGACAATACAGAGGTACGAACTGCATCTTTCATAGGAAGTAATGAGATGATGCGCAAAACAAGTTCATCCGGTAAACTACTAATATTATCCATTCCACTACGCCTAAACACTTTCCCACTTTCAGCCATCAACCAAAAACCAAATTCACCAATTCTGTTCACAAAAATCCCAAAAGAAAGATTCCCACTTTCAAGATCGCCCTGGAACATCAGAACCAAAAATTATTAACAAACCCCTTTCCATCTTTAAAATGTTTATACTAATTATGTAAGAGATACTGGCAAGAAAAAAAAAAAGAAAAAAGGCATAAAATCGAAAATCGAAAATCCCAAAAGAAAGATTCCCACTTTCAAGCTCGCCCTGGAACATCAGAGCCAAAAATTATTAACAAACCGTTTTCTATCTTTAAAATGTTTTATACCGATTATGTAAGAGATACTGGTAAACTCCTCTATTTTCGAAGAAGGAAAGAAGGCATATCTAAAGGGATTGAAGAAAACCTAAGACAATGGAATAGGAAAGCGAAATTCAAGAAACGAAAATCACCTTACAGTTCCCTCGTGCTTTGTTCGATTCCGATCGGAAAAAATCAAACAAATTGTGAGGAATTGTGTTGTGGAAATGATCTTCCGAAGGATTCTGGACTGGGTGCTTAGTGGCTTGCGTCTGTAGGTTTTGTAATCTGTGATTAAATAAATGGATTTTAATTTTCTTTTTCCTTTGGAAATTTTGGGACACGTGATAACATCCAGCGCAATCTTCACAGGATGCGATCATGCTATGTGATTATAGCCGCAAAATTATATATTAGCTACATGAATTTGCCAATTTTACTTTTAAAAATAATAATTTTAATTAATTTAATTATTAAAAATAATTAATATTTAATAATATATTT